CCCCCCCCCCCCCCCGTGCCTCTCTGCTTAAAGACTAGAGTTCCTGCAGTTTTGGGGAGAGAAGCCAAAGGACTTGGCGGCATGAGACTGATTCACCATCAGACTTAACGTTCAAAGACCTTCTCCTTTGATTTTGCAGCTTTAAATCTGCATGGCAATTTAACCAAGGATAATACCAACTAGCTGCTTTCAAACTCTTGATAAAATCCTTGGAAACATCCTGAGAGGTCATGTAGTCCAACCCACTGCTCAGTGCAGGATCTGTTAAAGTGGACACGAGGCTAGCTATCCAGCCAGATTATTGTTGGGAATGAAATAATATAGGAACTTGGCACTGCTTGGAGCACTCCTGCAAGGTAAAGCTGTTGTCTGAGGAGGAAGACCAAGATAGATTGCTTCATTGAAACCCACTCTCAAAACAAGCACCAGTTTTTGAGAAGCAGGAAGATCTGTTTGGATCCCCAGCCCCTTCATTACAGCTGATAGGTTGGCCCAGTTGTATCTTTTCTTGCCCTGAGCATTGTATATTTAGTTGTGGAGTTGATTCAAAGTGAACCCTAACCAGTGTTTAATGTCTTGGTGTAGGGATGATTCCCGTGCAACAGCAAAGCTTCCCAATGGTGTCTGTCATGCAGCCCAACATGCACGGCGTGATGGGAATGAATTACGGCTCTCAGGTGCCTCCTGGAACTATGACCGTGCAGGTTTGTGTTGGGTCGATTTGGAGCTGTCTGGCTTTAATCTGTATCCAGACGGTTAACAGTAATGTGCAACCCTTTTGAATTGTTTCCACTTCCATTTTTGATTTCGATTCAGATCAAATCAGCAGACAGTTGCTAACGTATCTTGAGCTTAGAAACATAGCTGCGATGAGAAACGCTGCGTTTCAGGCTCACAAGACTTCCAGAATGCTCAGCGCAGCCTGATTTTACATGCCAAGCCAGGCTGGGTCAGACTGAGAATTGTTCAGATCAAAACCTAGTCATTAGCTAGATTAGGTTAGTGTCAAGTTTAGAGGGAAAGAAACATAGGTGAGGCACGTGGCAGGCTTCACACTCTAGGATAATTGTGGCATGTTAAATATTTTTATTCATATCCTGTTCTTTCTCCAAGGCATGAGGAAACAATCCCCTGAAGCAGAACATCCAAATTTTTTTGGGCCAAGAGCTGCCAAACTACGCCCTCAAAGGTGGCAGGGCCAGTCCAGAAATCTGTCTATTCATCCATTAGATTTGTATGTTGCGGTATCTCCCAAGATTCCTAGCAGTTAACAACAATGAAACCATCGATTGATTGATAATGTGTTGTCAAGTTGTTGTCAACTCTTAGCAATCGCATACGTGGATCCTCTTCGTGACAATCTGTCCCTAACCTGGTCTTTCAGGTCTTCAGTGAAACCACACAATTAAAATAATTAATGTCTCCACTAAAAGTATAAATCTATAAAAGAACATGGAGCAACAATTGTTAGCAATTGACTCCATTTGAAAATGAAATAGAAGAGGTTACAAACCAAATCAAATAGAAAAGTATCAGGCACAGATTAAATACTAAATGAATTGTTTAAAGCTGCAGGAGAAGAGACACTTAAAGTGCTAATAGCCCTTTGTCAGCAACTTTGGAACAGTATGTGATCTAGAGTTCGGAAAAGACTGGTACATAATGAAAAAAAGAATTGAAAGAGACTAAAGCAATGTTTTGCAAACTTGGTAACCTTTAGATGTGTGGACTTCAACTCCCAGAACTCCCCAGCCAGCATGCTTAGCATTCTTCTGCGAGTTGAAATCCACATATCTTAAAGTTGCCAACACTGGACTAACCATTGCATTAATTTGTCAGGCAAGCCAAATGAACAGTCTGGTTTCAGAAAAGTTAGGGGAAGATCACATAGCTAATCTAACAACTAACTAATTAATCTCCCCAGTATTGGGGTAGAAATTTATTTCTTTATTACGTTTATATCCTGCCACAATCCTGAAGGAGTCTCAGCAGTTTACAGCCCAGACAGTAATACCAAAATCAGTTCAAAATTAAAACATACAAGGGTTGAGTTTTCATTAAATGTCTTTGCAATAGACTAGTGAGACTCTGTGCTCTTGAAATTTAAGGATAGCAGCTGAATTAAATTTTTTTCTATAGGAAAAGCCTGCTGTGAGACAAGCAATTGCTGTAGCTTTTCTCTAGCCAATTGTTTAACAAAACTATGCTTGTGTGGGGAATAAGAATTAAGAGCTGTTAATTCTGAACTGATGGATTTCTTATGTTTTGTAAAAACACTGTTATATCTCATAGAGTAGTGTACTATGTTTGTAACATTTTTAGTTTTTATAATTCATATAATTTATAAACATCAAATAACTTGGGCAAATAATGGGCATTTATTTGCAGATGGTGAGACTTCATTACAGGTAGTCCTCACTTAACGACTGTTCATTTAGCTACCGTTTGAAGTTACAAGAGCACTAAAAACAGTGACTTATAACTGTTGCCCGAAGTTACAACCATTGCATCACCCCTGCCATCATGTAATTGCGATTTAGGCACTTGGCAACCAGCTTGCACTTAAAACAGTTGCAACATCCCGGGATCACATGATCACCATTTGCAACCAAAATCAGTGGGGAACCCTGTGATTCACTTAATGATCATGGTGATTTGCTTAATGGCCACCACAAAAAAATCGTAAACTCAGGTTTGGTCACATGATGATTCTCTTAATGACTGCATCATTTAGCAATCTAATCCCAGTCCCCGTTGTGGTCATTAAGCGAGGACTACCTGTTTAAGAAAGTTCACATACATTTTGAATCTCCTGAGACCCACTTTGCTGGATCATTTACCAAGTATTTCTCTCCCTGTCTCTTTTTTGTCATTTAATATTGAATTGCTAATTTTGCTCACAGGGTGGCATGCCCCTAGGTCCAATGCCAACAGCGGGAATGCCATATATGGGACAAAGTCCCTTCCTTGGAATGCGTCCATCAGCTCCTCAGTATACCCCTGATATGCGGAAGCAGTTTGTTGAAGAACAGCAGTAAGTGAGCCATTCTGTTGCAGTTGGTCTTATTTATTATTTTTTTATTAATTAATCCATTTATATAGCTGCCATACCCAACACACGACTCAGGGCAACTTCATCTGATCATGTCTCAAGGACTTGATCCTCTCTCAGGAGACCTTATGCTTACAGCTACCAGATTTGCGCTGCAGAAATCTGGACCACCACTAAGCAGGAGCAGAGAAATATATATATAATATTATTACTCTTTGCTGCCATCTAGTAATTGTCCAGAATCTTGCAACCCAGAACTGATAGGCCTACTTAATCATGAATTAGGATCAGGAGGCAGGACTCATACCTTCTAATCCCTTGTTTGTACATTACCATCCTAGTATTGCCTGTACCTCTGGTACTTGGTAGCCTTGAAATTTGCACCCAGACCTTGTAGGTGTGAAGGAATGTAGGCCTGGCCTTGGGAATTCCAGAAATGCTATTTTATTATAGTCAAGTAGAATAGCAGAATCTTGAAAGCTCTCCAAGTTTTTCTCTGCCCCATCTTATACTAAACAAAATCAAGGTGGAGTTAGTTTGAATGTCTTTCTCACACTTTCCTCCTCCTGAGGACTGTGTCATCTTTTCTCAAAGGTGACTTAGATTGTTCCTGTTAGATTAACAGATTGCCCAAGGCCAAGTCTACGTCCCTTCACAGTAAGGTAGAGTACCAAAGTGACAGAAACAGCAACTAACCATAATGCCTAAATCATGTCTGTAATCAGCACTGATTATATTTTGTAGGAAACGATTTGAACACCAGCAGAAGGTTTTGGAAGAAGAAAGAAAAAGGCGTCAGTTTGAAGAACAGAAGCAAAAGCTAAGGCTTTTAAGCAGCGTGAAGCCAAAGGTAGGCTGTGGCAAATATACTCAGCGGCAAGCCAGTTGGACTGAAATTAATTTCTGTTGAGGAGAGAAATTAAAACAATGAATACAACTTTTAAAAACTGACAGGTATCAGTATTTCAACAAAACAGTATATACCAAGATATTAAATGATAAGCTATTTTTAGATAAAAAGGTTTTTGCTGATCTGGTTTTCCTTGAGGAGTTCCATCGTGAGGAACCAGTTTGCTTTGTTTTGGGCGAGTGATAAATGGTTTTCTAAGATAGCTGAAAATTCTGTTAGACCTGTTTCATAATAGGACATATCAATATGTTTTCAGATGGGCGAGAAAAGCAGAGATGATGCCCTGGAAGCCATTAAAGGGAACCTAGATGGGTTTTCCAGAGATGCTAAACTCCATCCCACACCAACTGCTCATCCCAAAAATGCAGGTATTCAACTTTGAGAAGAGATCTTGGAATAAAAATGCATGCAGCTTTAGGATAAACAGAAACTTTTGGGGAAACCAGCCAAAGAGAAGCATTTATAAATTCTGTTGGTTTCCGTGAAAAAATATAATCCCCTCTTCAGTCATGAACAGCAGGGCTTAAATGTGCTTAATTTTAGTTGGATCAGGACTACAGCCGTATTAGGTTACAGCCAAATTATGCTCAATCAGCTGAGCATGTGTGCATTTTGAAGGTTAGCAGCATTTTCAAAAACCTTCAAAATTTTCAAAAGCTCTGTCAGTATAAGTTGCAGTTGCAGATCCTCATCTTTCAAGAGCATTGAATTTCTTTTTTGTGGTCATTAAAATAAAAACCGATGTCCTCATGAAAATAAAGTGCATACGAAAAGAAGGCAGGCATCGGAAAATAAAGATCTATATTGCCTGTGTGTCAGTGAAAGCTGACTTAGAATATAGCAGCTGGGGTCCTTCTGGGTAAATTCTCAACTTTCTAAAGGAGTTGGTCCCTCTTCTCTCTCTAGCAGGAAGCCCAGTTGTGAATGTGCCGTCTAATTGATAGAAGTCCTCTGTGCTCTCAACATTTGAAACAATGAGAGCCATTTTAACTAAGGCCTTTCTGGGTGATTTTAATGTGTGTGAGAAGCTGGAGTGGGGACCATAGAGAGGAAAGTGCTCCTGCGCCTTCTCCTTTTCACCACTTGCTGAAGAAGCAAGTTATTTTTCCTTTTCAATGGGAAATTCAGAAGCTGCTTGTCTCTTCAGCAGCGCAAGCGAGGAATAACATAAAAATACGGGATTGTGCATCGCTAGGTGCACGGTTCCCTCTCAATACCACCTTGTAGGTCCTAGAAATGGGCACTTTTTTTTTTTTTTTTTTAGCAACAAGGCTCGTTTTCCTCCAGGGGTTTCCATCTTGTGTGAATGTACATGTCTGTGTTCATTCCATTTCACAGATCATCCCACACCATCTCATTCTACTGTGTCTGTCTCCCAAACTACTGCTTTTCTTGACGACGAGGAGTTTAGTGACTTTATTCAGGGACCTGTCGAAACCCCACCATTCATGCCTCCAACCTCTTCCCAGGCTTTTCAGTCTTGTCATCCTGCTTCTAAGGCTGGGCAACGGCTTTCAGAGAAGGCTGTGGCCCTCGCTCTCCCTCCAGTCCAGTTTCCTGTAACCTCCATCCTCCAGGGTACTGTGGGACCAGTACCCTATTTCTGTCCTTCTCCGGCTTCACAAAACACTCAGAAAACAGGTAACACACCATGTCTTTCGGGGAATAAAATATACTGGTGCTGAGCCTGAGAACCAACTTTGTGTTTTGCTTTCATTTCTTCAGCTAGGTAGAATTCAAGCGTAGAAGGACAGATGATTTACAGATGGGATACTATCTTACACACATTTAATTTGGAGTAAGTCCATTGACCACAGCGGAACTGCTGAATATGTGTTTGTAGGGAAACTTGTGGTCAGTTTGTTTAGGTTATTATTTTTAATACAAGTATCATCCCACCTTTTATGTGGAAGACACTCAAGACAACTAAATTCAAGGCATTTGCTTATTTTAGTATACCTAGTTTTCTTTCTCTCCTATATAGGTGGAAGTGCCTCTTTTGAAGTGGCCCCTATTGCAGGAACAATGAAGATATTCTCTCCCTCTCTCTAATCCTAAATTCCAGCAGAAAAACAGTACCTCTAATAAATTAGAACCAAAGTTTTGCAGAAAGAACAGCAATCGTAGCCAAGTTGTTCCACGAGAAACAAAATCCAAAATTCACAGTAGGGTTATAAGGATCAACTAAAATGGCATGAAAGAGCATGCTTGCTTTTGAGTTTCAAGAGCTCTTTGTCAGGGAAACCCCCCCCCAAAAACGGGGGGAGAGGAGAAGAGAGGGGAATTTTAGAGCTATATCTGTACTAGGTCATACTGTTGAGTAAATTGTTAACCTTCATGCCCTGAATCTGAGTTTTAACAAATGCAGAGTAGTATTAGGTTGGAATCAGACCTTCCCCAAACTTGCTGGGAAGCAAGTGGAAAGCGAACGGCAGCCCCCCCCGCCCCCCCCAAAAAACACTCTGAGAAGACAAAGGGTCTTTGATTTCCTATATTTTTCAAAGCATTTGCAAAACAGACTTCTGACCTGATAGAGAGTAAAGAAAGAAACATTAACATTTTAAAGTGTTCTAATAGATAGAAATCGATCACGCCAAATTTGCATACTTGGAGGGGTTAGATTATTCTCAGTTACAGTCCTGTACTTTCAGAATGTAAAAAATCCTCTTCACTTTTTTTTAAAGGGCAATACATCTCTCCTCCTCCCTTTTCTTCTCCTGCTGAGTTCTGGGTATGCTCAGTAGTTGCAGAATATTGTGAGTCAGACAGAAAGAAAATATTAAAAGAGGGCCTGAGTTTGGCCCTGAGTTTGCATCAGTGTTGCTTATTTGTAGGGCTGTTGGTACCTTTGTGTTTTCTTTTTGCCTGTGGGATTCAGGAATGGGACAAAGCTCCAAACTGAAGTGATTCAGCAAGTACATCTAATTCCTCCTTTTATTTATCCAGGACATTTCTTAGAAGACAAGCCTTTGCCATGTTGGGCCTTGAGTGAATTTGAGCAAGCTCAAATCAAACTTAAGGTGCCTGAGGTTGAGTTCAGCGCTGCAGCTTCAGCTGTAAATAGCACTGATCCCAAGTTAGCAGCCAGTGGCAGGAAGTCCCTAGGGGCCCTCCCCAAGGGAACCCCCTTTCCAGAGGCAAACAAGGCTTCAGAACAAAACCTGCCAGTTGAAGAGTGTGGTGAGCAAATCTGTTGTTTTCAGCAAGGTGTACGCTGCTTCATTGTTCTAACCGTTTAATGTGAATGCTGGGTAATTTTGCTCTGAATCCCTGCTTGAATAATAACAAGGAAGCATCTTTTATCCTGACTTACATGTAATACTTGCAAGATCTGTCAGTAATGTAAAAACTCAGACTTAACCAGCTTTTTGCATAAGTTTTGAGCCTGTCATCTTTTCCAAGCAAAATGTCATTCCAGTCATGCATGCTGCTGCCACCGCCGCCGCCTCCTCCTCCTTTTTCAATTCTTGCTGTCATTTACCTTGCCCAAGGAGAATTGGCCCTCGTTTGATCCGAACAACTTTCTCCAACATGGCATTCTCCAGATGTGCTAGGACTACCACTCCCAGAATTCCAACCCTCTGGCTTTTTGCAAGCCCAACTTATCTGGAGGGTGCTAGGTTGGTGGAGTTGGCCTAGCAATGATGCAGGGTGAAGGATGTATGCGTTATAGTTGATAATTTATGAACAGAAGTCACATGTCACCCGTGTTGGAAAGGTCACCCATTGCCACTGACTGGCACTAGGCTCGCCAGTGGTGCGTAAGAAACTTTCTTTTGACCCTTATCTTTAACACATCTAAAGTTGCCACCTTCCCACCTGTCTTGTGTTTAAAGGGCTGCTCAGTTTTAAAGATTAAAAAAGCTAAGGAGAGGCAGGAACTTGAAGTTTCCTATTAGCATTAGCAGCAGTCGGCCGGGAGGCTTAACAACCAGCAGAGCAATCACCTGATCACATATTGCAGGTTATTCGTTGTATATCTGTTTTGGTGGTCTTTTCACTTGCACCAATACAGTATGTCAGCATTAGCGCATGCAAAGTTTATGCCATTCTGTGCCCTCTTGTTCTCTTTGATCAGTGTTTCTCAACCTTGGCAGCTTGAAGATGGGTGGACTTCAACTCCCAGAATTCCC